ATCCTTTGCACGTACACTTCTAGCGCTTCCTCCTTTACTTCGAATGTTCCGTTAAGTTGGTTGACGACGAGGGCCGAGTCAGACTTGACCTGGATCTTGTGGGCGCCCAGCTCTTTAGCCATGGTCAGGCCGTCGATCACCGCCTCATACTCTGCAGCGTTGTTTGTTTTCAAGGTGGCGAATCGCAGTGCTACCTCGTGCATCGCACCTCCCGGACTTATCATCACAATTCCCGCTCCGGCGCCCGTACGGCTGGCCGCTCCATCGACTTGTACTTGCCAGCAATCATCTGCCCCCTTCTCGGTCTCAGTTATTCCTTCTGCGACGAAGTCGGCCAGGACTAGAGCCTTGATGGCTGGTCGAGGCGCATACCTGACATCGAACTCGCTTAGCTGGACTGCCCACTTGACGAGGCGCCCGGCCACGTCCATTGATCCTAACGTGGATTTCAGAGGTAGGTTGGTAAGGACTATGACGGTGTGAGCTTGGAAGTAAGGTCTCAGCTTGATTGCAGCCATCACAACCGCCAGCGCGGCCTTCTCAATGGGCGCGTATCGCCTTTCGTGGGGAACCATGGTGCGACTGACGTAGTACACCGGTCTGTCCTCTCCAGAGTGGGCTTCTCTTGCAACGAGCACTGCACTTACCGACACCTCCGACACAGCAATGTAAAGGTATAGTGGTTCTCCCGCCTTAGGCGCCGTCATCACGGTCGGGGCGCTTAAAAGTTGCTTCAATTCTTCGAATGCTCCGTCACACTCGGTGGTCCATTGGAAACGGGCCGCCTTCTTAAGCGTTCGAAAGAAAGGAGCGGCCTTGTCTGCGGACCGGGGGATGAAGCGCCCCAATGCTGCCAGCCTGCCCGCCAGGCCTTGCACTTCTTTGGGCGTCTTCGGGGGGGTTAGCTTTAGGATCGCATCCACTTGTTTCGGATTGGCCTCTATACCTCTTTTGGTGATCATGAATCCCAGAAATTTTCCCGCTTCGGCGCCAAATACACATTTGAGGGGGTTCAGCCGGAGCCTATGCGCCCTCATGGCCTGGAATGTCTCTCGCAAGTCTTCAATGTGGTCTTCCCGTTTCCGGCTCTTGACAATGAGGTCATCCACATAAGCTTCCACATTCCGGCCGATTTGCTGCCGAAAGACATTGTTAACCATCCTTTGGTATGTGGCGCCCGCGTTTTTGAGCCCGAAGGCCATGACCCGATAGCAAAAGTTTCCAAAAGGCGTCATGAAAGCTGTTTTGGGCCGGTCTTCCTCTGCCATGGGGATTTGATGGTATCCTGAAAACATGTCAACGAAGCTCAGCATCTCGTGGTATGCTGTAAAGTCCACCAGCAAGTCTATCCGGGGCATTGGGTAGGCGTCCGTTGGGCACGCCTTGTTGAGGCTTGTGTAATCCACGCACATCCTCCAGTCGCCCGACGGCTTGGGCACAAACACCACATTTGACAGCCAGGTGACATAAGAAGTTTCTTCCACCAAATTGGCGCCCATAAGCTTGTCCACCTCGACCCTAAGGGCTGCCTCTTTTTCCGGCGATAAGTTTCTGCGCTTCTGTTGCACAGGGCGCCTCCCTTCCTCAACCGCTAACCTATGTACTGATGTTTCAGGTTTGACGCCCGGCATTTCCATGGCACTCCACGCGAAAAGCTCTGCGAATTCTTTCAGAAGCGCGATGAGTCGCTCCACCATCTCGGCAGGCGCCTCCGCCGAGATCCTAACGCACCTTTCTGGGCGCCCTTCCTCCAACGCTATCAAAAGGTCCTCATCGGCTGCCTCGGCTCGGGGCGCCTCGTCTCCCCCCACTTCCATCACATTGATTCTTGCCTCCACATGCCTTCACTTGCGCCCTATCTCCTTCGCGTAACGCGGGGCGCCTCGTCCTCGGGCCACGCCTACCCCTTGCGGGGCGATGAACTTCAAGGTCTGGTGACAAGTGGAGGCCACCCCATTAAACAGAGCCAAGAGCGGCCTCCCAAGGATCGCATTGTATGGTGAAGGACAGTCCACTATCCCAAAGTCTATGGCGCGCGTCACCCTTTGCTCCCCATCTCCCAACGTGACGGGCAGGCATACCCGCCCAATCACTCTGGCGGGCGCCCCAGAAAAGCCTATTAGTACCGACTCCGATGGTCTGATCATCTCTGGGGATAGTTGCATGCGGACCACCGTATCCTTGAACAGCACATCCATGGAGCTTCCCGTGTCGACAAGCATCCTCCTTACCCTGCATCCGGCTATTACCCCTTGTATCTCCAAGGCGTCCATGGACGGGAGCATACACGCTTCCTCCGGCGCCTTGTTGAAGCTAATGTCGATCGACTCTTGCACATCTGCCGACGCCGCCCTCAACCGACGCTTCGCTTCTATCTTCTCCCTCAAATCCATTGTCCCTGAGATGGTTTCGATCGTCAGGCGCACGCGGTCAGGCGCTTTTTCCTGGTCCAAGTCATAGGGTGGCGGTGGCAGCTCCTCCCCCATTCTCACCACTCCAGCCACACATGCCCTATGCATTCTTTCCTCGGGTTTTCTGACGAAGTCGTTGAGCATTCCTCTGTCCGCAAGACCCTGCAGTTCTGTCTTGAGTTGGTAACAATCAGTCGTGTAGTGCCCAATCTCACGGTGGAAATCGCAGTACCGGTCCAAGTTCTGCTCGTTGGGTTGCCCCCGCATCGGCCCTGGCCACCTGATGTGGTATCCCTTCTCTTTGACGTGCTGAAGCACATTCTTCAGGGTGTCGTTATACTCGGTGAAGGGCCCAGCCCCTCTAGGCGCCTGGCGCCCCATATCGTTCCTCCTGGGCGGGGGCTGGTTTGTGGGCACATAGCCCGCGCCACTCGTTGGGTACTGCCTCCTCGGCACCTCAGCCTCCTCCACTCGTGCCTTCCTCCGATCCGCCCTCCTGGCCGCTAATGTCTCTTCCAGCACAATTACCTTTTGCACTCTATAATCCAGGTCTTTTGTGGACACCACATCTCTCTTCGCAAGCGCCCTGCATAACTCCTCACTGGAGGTGCACTCATTCAGACACACCCCTAGCACCGACGGCTGGACGTCTTTCACTGCTAAGGCCACGGACAACCACCTCTCGTAAAATTCCCGTAACGCCTCTCCCTCTTTCTGCTTGACCTTAAACAAGGCGCCTATGGTCAAGGAGCGCCTTTTTCTGCTGGCAAACTTCGCCAAGAACATCGCTGCGAACTGTTCGAAGCAGTCGATGCGCCCTTCGCCGATCTGATGATACCAATCGAGAACCACGCCCGAGAAGGTGGACGGGAACACCTTGCACAGGGTGGCGTCTGTGCTGTTATAGAGTTGCATTTTGGTGAAATATCCGTTAAGGTGGTCCTCAGGGTCTCCAGTTCCGTCATAGGCTGGGAGTGGGGGAATGTTGGTTCCAGCTGGCTCCGAGAGTATGCAACGCGCCAGAGGCTGCCTCACAGGGCAGTGGCGTGAAAGGCGCCCCAATATTCCTCCATTCCATCCACTAACGTCCGGCGCCCCGTGATCACGTGGGCGCCATGGACCGGGACGCCTCGGGCACCCCGATTCAATCTCCGTCTCCTCCACCCTTTCTCTTTTCTTCGTCGGGCTGGGCGTCATCCCTTCACTCCTTCTTAAGGCGTCCACTTCACGCCGCAGCGCCTCGATTGCCTCGTCTTGATCCTCAATGATTCGAAACAATTCTTTTTTCGTGACCGAGGCGCCTTCGGATCCCCGCAACGCGTCCTCACTTCTTTCACCTTCTTCCTCCTCGGGCGTCTGCCCTCTCATTTGCTCTGACTGTTCTTCCGTAATTTCTTCCCTTTCCTCATTCATCGGCGCCTCTTCACTCATGACTCCTGGCTATATTCCCCTTCATGGCGCGCCAATTGTTTGAGACCCGATACCCTTTACAAGACTATCCTGGATCCTCTCACGCCAGGCGCCGATCTGCACACACGAACAAGGAGGGGGCGCCTCGGCCCGTTAATCCTCCGATGCCCAAGTCAGTTCCTAAGAAGAAAGAAGTGTCTCAAAGCTAGAGTTTGTGAGAGAGTCCAACCTGCGTAAATGCTACCAGCTGCCCCTATTTATACTTACCAGAGTTCGAGGTTGATCCTCTCTGCCTCCCTGCCTTCATTCAATGCTCTTGTCTCTTTCTGGCCAGACATCCCAACCACCTTGTCAGACTCCTGGCACGTGACAGGCGCCCGCAGACGCTGGACCACATGACAGTCTGGCCTCCCTTGGCCTCTTGTGCCTTGTCCTCATGTGGCCTCTCCTTTACTTGGGCCTTGCCCCCCACTTGGGCTGGTTTGCTTAAGCCTTGCCCCCCACTTGGGCTTTGCTCATAACACCCCCAACAAGGTACATCTCGTCCTCGCTAGTTTTTGTGGAGCAACTTTATTGCTTGTACCTCACGTCAATATGGGGGAGGTTGTTAATGTGTACGAGTGTTTATGCAATGTGTAGTAGTGTTTATTAGTGCAGCGACATGATTAATATAACTCAACATAACATAGTAGTATGGATAACTCATGCAGACATAATAATGAAATTGACTCGAGAATACTACCTCTTGGTGGATGAACATTGTTTATACTTAACAACATAAATAATTTAAATCTTGCGTCTAAATTGACAGTATACTCTCACTCCCGACCGACGAAGTAGCTCTACTTACAGATGCAATAGTAGATCAGAAATTAATCATCTCATCTAACTAGCTATCTTTTGCATGTGATGAAAACCGGTCTTGTATTTAATTAATCCACTCTCACCTGTAACTTGTAAACCATGAAATGATGGAAATCGAATGTTGTGACGCATCCCATTTTCATACCTACCTTTTCTCTATATTGCATAATCACATAACAGTATACATCATGTGCGTCGCTGTCAAATTTCAATAGAGAAGTATTTACACCAATTTTCAAAAATAATAATTAGAAGAAAAAAAAAAGACAATTTCCAAAACCCTATATATAACAGCCGCTCTTCGCCCTTTCCATTCCCATTCTCTTCTCAATCCAAACCTCAAGAGGAAAACGGAAAACAACATTATAAGAAGAAGAAGAAGAAGCAAAAAAAAAAAACAAAATGTCGTCGGCAACTCAAAACAACGGCCATCACTTCTTCCCGTTAACTCTCTCCGTCAAGCTCAAGTACGTTAAACTCGGCTACCACTACCTGGTCACTAACACCGTGTACCTCCTCCTCATACCACTCGCCGCCGTCTTCCTCACCAACCTCTCCACCCTCTCCACCGCCGACCTCCTCGAACTGTGCACCAGAAACTCCGCCATCCTCACCGCCACCTCCATCTCCTTAGTCTTCCTGACCACCGTCCACGTCATGCACGCCCCGCGAAAAATCTACTTATTGGACTTCGCTTGCTACAGGCCCAGCCCGGCCCAAATGTGTTCCAAGGAGCGGTTCATGAGGATTTCATCCGCTACGGGCAAGTTCACGGAACAAAGCCTGGAGTTCCAGCGCAAGATACTGGAGAAATCCGGGTACGGTGACATGACCCACATTCCCACGGGGCTGCTCGGGGAGCTGCCCGTGGACCAGTCGATGGCGGCGGCAAGGGCGGAGACGGAGACAGCGATTTTCGGAGCCATCGATGACTTGCTGGACAAGTGTGGGGTGGAGGTTAGGGAGATTGGAGTGCTGGTTGTGAACAGTAGCTTGTTCAATCCGACGCCGTCTCTTTCGGCCGCGATCGTCAATCATTACAAGCTCCGGGGGAACGTCTTGAGCTTTAATCTGGGCGGGATGGGTTGTAGCGCAGGCTTGATCTCCGTTGACCTCGCTAAAGACCTCCTCCAGGTTTGGCCTCTCGCTTTCTTTCTTTCTTTCTTTCGTCACCACTCCACTCCACTTTGTGAAAATTCATTAGTTAGGTACTAATTCATATGTTAAATATCTGACCTGTAATTCGATCAGTGAAGTACTGCATAATCAGACGTCAGTCAGTCACACTTATTGATACTAAAAATGAATCATGGGCTGCTGCTGCTGCTCTCTATTAAAGGGAATGGCTGGTTTCTACCAAAAAAAAAAAAAAGGGAATGGCTGGGCTTATATAATATATATATATATTTCCCACTTATTTCATTACGTCGTCGTTTCCGATTTTAATTTAATGCAATTGGATTCGCACGAGCGAGCAGGTGCATCCCCACACGTACGCGCTGGTGGTGAGCACAGAGAACATAATCCGCGGGTCCTACTTCGGCAACGACCGGGCGAAGCTTCTGAGCAACTGCCTGTTCCGCATCGGCGCCTCCGCCGTCCTCCTGACCAACCGCCGGTCCGACCGCCGCCGATCAAAGTACCAGCTCTGCCACACCGTGCGGACACACAAGGGCGCCGATGACAGGTCCTACCGCTGCGTCTTCCAGGAGGAAGACGAACAGGGCATCGTCGGCGTCTCCCTGTCTAAAGACCTAATGGCCATCGCCGGGGAAGCATTAAAAACCAACATCACCACTTTGGGCCCGCTCGTCCTGCCCTTCTCCGAGCAGATCCTGTTCCTATCGACCCTAATCGCGAGGAAATTGATGAAATCCAAGGCGATCAAACCCTACATCCCCGATTTCAAGATGGCGTTCGAGCACTTCTGCGTCCACGCCGGCGGCAGGGGCGTGCTGGACGAGGTGGAGAAGAGCCTGGGATTGACGGAGTGGCACATGGAGCCGTCGAGGATGACGCTGTACAGGTTTGGCAACACGTCGAGCAGCTCGCTGTGGTACGAATTGGCGTACAGCGAGGCCAAGGGCCGGATCAGGAGAGGGGACCGGGTCTGGCAGATCGGGTTTGGGTCGGGTTTCAAGTGCAACAGCGCGGTCTGGCGGGCGCTCAGGACTGTGGATCCCAAGTGCGGGAGGGAGAGGACGAATCCGTGGGCGGCCGAGATTGATGGGTTTCCTCTTCAGCTTCCCAAACTGGCACCTATTATTGTTTACTGATAGAATGAAAGATGAACATGGGTCGGGTCGGGTGGGTGTGGAAATGAACACAGACAGCAACATTTATTTATTATCATGCCGTGAAATGTAATTTATGGATACTTGTATTTGTTTGATTGTTGTGTTTGTTTTACTTGGAACAAGGAATAAGTCTTTTGCCCATTGCTATTTTTATAGGAGCAAGAATCACCGATGACAGGAACAATTTCTAATAGAACTAAGCGAATCGTAAGAACAATTTTCGGTCTAGTTCTAACTTCACTCTATCAATCCAGACCTAAAAACTCTTCATGCTTACTTCACTCAAAAGTTTTCGGCAGACTTTCATCCTTCTTTTCAGCAACTAGCTATGCTGTGCATGAATCAAAGAATAGACAATTTTAAGTCTAATATGCTGTTCATCAGCCAACCGTCACATAACATGCCAGTGAGTTCAACTGAAAATGAGTAAAACTTTGACCACAATACAGAAATCGCTTTCTCAAGTTAGGGATTTGAACAGTACAGTTTGCGCAAGTTTCTTCTCTGATTCATGAACTCAACAGCTGGAGGTTGGCACGAAGAAGGGCCAAGAGAATCAAAGACCAGTCAGTTATCTTTAATAACGACAATCACAACCTACAGTGCACAACATTAATGAGACCAGGAGAGAGCGCAATATTGCAGACCATTCAGACATGACAGGACAAGTGAGGAGAGCATTTACAAAAACAGAATCAGCACTGTGGCTCTTTAAATGCAGGAACATCATCTTTGCCGGTCGGTAGTGATTAGTCTGGATCGCCTAACTGATTGTGACTTCAACTGGCAGCAGGTTGTACATAATACATTAATGGAACTTAATAGTTAAGTGTTAATACATCCCCCAAATCCCACGAGCTGCCGTAAACTTGCTGCTTGGCCTGGCGGTGAGTTCGTACAAGATCCTCGCGAAAGTGTCCGAGTACTTGCTGTCGGAGAAGAGAATCTCGGCGAAAGAATTCTCGTAGATCAGCAGCAACGGCCTATTCTGTGGCTCCGAGACTAAGCTCTCCAGAATCATCGATGCTTTCCTGCAGATCTCTGGCACTGGATGAGGCGTCTTGATCACCTTCAGTAACCGGTCAACCGCCCTAGAAGAAATAATATGTATTAACATTACATGTCAATACAGTTAACACTTAACAAGGTTTTAGCAGCTAGGTTCTAAACAAGGACAAGGTTTTAGCAGCTAGGTTCTAGGACAATGTTTGGCCCGGCTGTTGCTTTCCTAAAAAGAGCTTCTAGTAGGAGCATTCAAAGAAGTCCACTTTGGGGGAGGCAAAAAACTTGAAATATTAGATAGATAAGAGGGTCTTTTTTTCATTTTTTTTCAAAAGCTAGATTGGTAGAAATGTCTGGCCTGGCTTATGCTTTTGAACTAGAAAAATCCTTAAAATGTTGGGCCAAAGACAATTCGGTAGAAAGATAGACCAGAGCATCACCATCGTTCACTGGCGAGCTTCAGCCTGCAGTCCATGTTGACTTCTGCTAGGTTATAGAGAGCACCAACTGCAGCTGCTTGGGCATCGACTGCTTGTATGCTCAAAAGGTCCACCAGACGCTTATGTATCTGCAGGGCTAAATGAAGTTATATCACATTGTGTTTAGCTTAGCAAGGAAAGGGAAAACACGAGCAAAGAGGTTTATGCCTGTGGAAGAAATGGAAGAAGGAAAGGTTCGTTGTCAGGATTTATGATTAACCGTCCTATTAGTTCAGCAGCTGCACATTGCCAAGTTTTAACTGAAGAACCCAGAATGCCCATAATAGCTTGGACTGCCCTTTTCTCTCTGCAAGAATTACAATAGTTGGGTATCCATCACAAGCAAACATGTAAATGCACATCTTTAAATCGTATGCTGGACAGCTTCTTACGGTGTATTGATGAAAGGTGACTTTTGTGAGCTCAAATTTCGGAGATTGAGCACAGGAGCCAAATTTACAGCTGTTTCAAGGGCGTTTGTTACAAGTTCCTCATCCTCTGTCAAAGGAAGAGCTTCAGTCAGCAAATACTATAAAGGGCTTCATTCGTTGAAGTATTTCCATCAAATAAGAAATAAAACCAAAAACAGTAGTGCCTCAATACCCTAATTTCAGTGATGCAATTAAACACTGACGACCAAAGAAAAAAGTGTGCACTCAGTGGAGGTATTTCAGGTAGTCTGATGATTCAGCTATATTTGCACATTTCCCAGTTCTGGTATTTCATATTGTTACATAACAGCTAATTTCATTTTTCATCACGCAAAGTCCGCTCACGTCTCGATTTCAGGTAGAGGCCAACATCACATGCACTCGAATAATGTACACTGAAAAGGTGGGCATTCAATGGAGGTGATGATTCAGGTAGTCTGATGATTCAGCTAATTGGCACATTCGCCAGTCCTGGTATGTAATACTGTTGTACAACAGCTAACTTCATTTTTCATCATGCAAAGTCCCCTCAAGTCTCGATCTCTGGTAGAGGGCAACATCACATGCAGTCACATGATGTACACTGTGAAAACAAGTCACTAGGAGATGCAAACCTCAATTCACATATGAACATGACCAATAGATGGTAGCTCCAGCTGCTTTTTAGGCAAGCTAAACAAGAAGTAGCGAACTCTAAAACTTATTGGGCTGCCTAAAAAGCATAGTATCGAATATGCACAAGAGCGAATAGTAGATGCACACTGATGATGCATTAGAGCTTTGGGAAAGATGCGGAAGAATGCAAGATGGCTCCAGTTCAAACAATACTGTTTATGTCATTTAAAGTTTTAACGTCAATTATCACCACGCAAACTTTCATAGCTGCAGATTTTTAAGGGTATAGAACAATTCACGAGGTTTTCCCTACACTAAGCATCAAATCATTTAAGTTCATGTAGCAATGAGATATTCAAAGGTAAAAAGCACAACACAGAAGACTATAAAGTTTAGTACAAATTGCCCTCACCCGAGTTGTGACCTTCGATACATTGGAAGACTGTTTCCACACAATGCCGGTGTTGGGCCATGACAGATTCATTTTCTTGCATAAAGGAGAAATTGCGTATGATATTTGATGCAGCAACAGCACACTGTTGTCTTTCTGCCCGTCCTTCATCATCCAAATTAAAAATACCATCCTCATCTGACCACCACTCTGAAGAACGAACTTTAGCTGCATTCTTCATGGCCAAAGCCTCACTTGCAGTAGATACTGACCTGCCAATATACACATTTCTTCCAAAGTTTCACACTTAAAACTAATCAATAGCCCCAATTTTCTCGCACATGAAACAAAATTAACTATCCCTTACCCAGAATGGGATGGAGCAGTCAGCGATCCCAATGCCTCGTACTCATGGCCGAAACCCGTGACAAGAGAATTAGCACCTAAATTGCGGACTCTAGTGCTCCTGCTGATTTCTTTAGGAAGCCCTATATCACGCCAGTCATCTATCTGTTTGGCATTACATCCTCAAAAAAGTAAGCTCTTTTGAAGAAACAAGTAAGAACTGACGCTCTTTTGAGGAACCAAAATCACGAATTCCTCTCACCCTCCCATTGGTTTCGCTACTGCCCGTGTTACTGCCAATAAACCATCAGTCTATTCTGAAGAAAGTTGAGTAGTTGAGCAACTTACAACTTGGAGGAGAGCGTCGAGCAAGCCGGGGACTTTGGCCAGAGAATGGTCTTTGCGCATATCTTCCTTCTCCTTGAAAGAGAGCAGAGTGAGAGTGTTCAACGCCCATGTCAGCTCGCTCTTCAGCCCACTCTGAAGCGCCAGAACTATCCTCTTATGATTTTGATCTGCAAACCCACAAATTAACTTTAAGAACGAGGCCACCGGTAGTAACCAAAATGAAGAATCAGGTCTCAGTATCTGACGAACTGACCGGCGAATGTGTTGTGAACCTGGAGAGAAGGGCCAAGCATATTCAAAGGAGCTGCCGCATCTCCCCCGCTGCCTCCGGCGGAGGAGTTGCTGTTCGTGCTCCCAAAAGGGCGGCCTCTCTTCGCCGGCGGTGCCGATGTGCCGCCGGCTGAGCCGGTGAACTTGCTCTGGTCTCGTTTCTGCATCAGTCTATGCCTTTACTTTCTACTTCTGCTCCGGCTGTGGGAAAGTAGGGAATTGCGGACGGATTTAATTTAGGGCATCGACCCGGATCCGACATCGGAACCGGGATATATCATATCGAATTGGATCTTGACTTGAAGATATTTGACTTTTGAGAGCCATAGCCAGATAGGTGAGGTGGGCTGCGAGAGCCCAAGGATTCTGACTTAGCTGGGCTGCCGGTTAGACTTCACGCTAGCGTTCCCGGGCTTAGATCCACGGTCTGCGAGAAGGTTTAGCAAACTTTATGGGTCGTAGGCCCAAACTAAAACTTCTTTTTGGATTCAGCTCTATGTCATCCATCTACACTCTGGTTTTTATTTTTCATATGAGAACAATTTCATTCCATAAAACTAATCGACTATAAAGTGAGGTTGTATCAGTAAGTTAAAAACTAAAGGGTAAATACAATAATATATTAGCCATAACGGTTAAGGTGTTAAAAATAATAGCTACAATTATTGAAATTCAAAATACAAATTATTAGTCATAATTATTATTGCGGGTCAAGATATGGTTAGGGATGACAAAAATATCCGTCAACGTGGATATCCGCCCGAATCCGGCCTAATCAGGTAGGGTAAAACCCAAATCCGAAGGACATTTAGTGGGTATGGGTAAAATCTGAACCCGAATATTGCGATAATGAGGGAACATGGGTTTCTCACTATCCAACCCGAACCCGCCCGATTATACACTTGTATATATTTATTTTGTCTAGAAATAATCATTAGTTTTCTTTAACATATTTTATATTTAGCATATAAATATAATATTTTCATGAAATGGTCTAGTTTTAATTAATTTTCTTCATCCTAGTGAATTATTGTCGTACTTTTCCTCTTACGTAATGTGAGAATACGTGTGAATGTTAACATATTGGTTGGAGTTATGAAGATAAATTATTACTCATGGATAACCATGGATACCCGAAAGGTTATGGGCATGGTTTTAATTTTCTACCCGTTTCACATGTGGATATGGGTATGGGTAAAACCCGAACTACTATGGGTAGGGTAACGGATATGCACTATCCGCGCCCGACCCGACCCATTATCATCCTTAGATATGGCTAACAGCTAGTTAACACTAATGCCTAATGGTTTATTGGACAGATTTACAGGTAAGCCGACATCTCAGCGCCAGCTCAATTATAATAATTTTTATTTTTCTTTATGATTTCAAAAATAAAAACAAAAAACAGAGAAGAGCAACGGCGGATCTTCCCTTCCTCTTCCCACCATCGACATCGAGAGTCTATTTGTCGATTGCGATTGTCTCTCTCTCTCTCTCAATTCCTCTCCCACTTCAATGTTCCTCGGATAAGAAACAATGGCCACTGGTTTGAGGAACATCGTACTCTCCATTGTTACATTGCTTATTGCTAAATGCTAATTGCCCTATTCATTCAGTCTTCTGGGTTCCAATCCACTTCGTTGAGGTTGTTGTTGGAGACGTTGAAATCAACCAAATTGGTTGAGATGGAAGGGAACAGGTCCGAGAACACGTTCTTCTAGAGTAACAAACTGGTCAGTTGAGTCCAATTGTTGACAGCAAACATAATCGAACCGGTAAAGTTGTTGGATGAGAGGTCGAGTCGCGTCAGCCGGGACAGCGGAGTCACTCCCGCAGGAAACTGTCACGACCTTACTCTCGATCGTGCGGCCCTAGTTCTCAATTCCATTAGAGCGCTAGGCAGCCTTTCTCTCAAACTCACAAGCAAGCAAAGAACAAGGAAGCAAAGACAAAGAAGTGGGAGAACTCTCTAGTGTGTATTACTCTCAAAAATGATGGAATGAGTTACAAGTGAGGGAGATGGCTCCTTATATAGGCCTCTCCTCATACAATGCATCAATGCCCCTCATAATGTCCCTCTACTACATCAATACACCCCATTAAGTCCCCCCATTATGCACTCTATAAATGTCACCCATTATGTGACTCATAAGTGCACCATTAAGCTCTACATTAAGGTGGAGAATCCTAGGAGCATCTCTATGCTACTAGTCTTCCATGCATGCCACATGTGCCGCCGCCATGTTGTCACCTTATTGGCGCCATGTCATCTGCCACATGTGACATCCTCCCCCACCTATGCTCGCGACGCCCTCGTCGCGTCCTCTTGATGGAATGCCTCGATCAAGTCCTTGTTCTTCCAAAGCGTGAGCTCTTTCTCCCAAGTTGCTTCACTCTCCGGAAGGTTGCGCCACTTGACCAAGTACTCCACAAAGCTTGGATGTACGCCACGACGAGGAATGACACGACGCGCCCTGATTTCTTCAAATTCATGGTCGTGTGTCTTGGTGATGAGTGTTGGCACGCGCTGCGACTCCCTTCGCTGCTCGTCCTCCTTGTCTTTGTGGTAAGGCTTGAGTTGGCTCACATGAAAGACCGGATGAATCTCCAAGTGCGTCGGCAACTCCACCTTGTATACCACCTTGCCAAACCTCTTCACGATGGGGAATGGCCCTTCATAGCGGTGAAGCAGTCCCTTGTGCACGTTCTTGAGATGCTTGAAGTGATGAGGGTAGAACTTGACCATCACCATGTCTTCCTCTTCAAACTCCAAGTGCCGCCTCTTCTTGTCCGCCCATTTCTTCATCTTCTTGCTAGCGCGGGCTAAGTAAGACTTGGCCATCTCCATCTTCACGTGCCAGCCTTTAGCAAACTTGTAGGCCGCCGGATTGTTGCCTCTATACCCCCTTGCCACCGTCGTAGGTGTAAAAGGTTGTTGCCCCGTCGCCAACTCAAATGGACTCGTGTTGGTCGACTCGCTGCGGTGCAAGTTGTAGGAGAACTGTACCTTGTCCATCAACTTCACCCAATCTCGTTGGTTTGCACTCACGTAGTGCCGCAAGTACACTTCCAACAAGGCATTCACCCGCTCCGTCTGTCCGTCGCTTTGTGGATGAAATGTCGTCGAGAAGTTCAAGTTTGAGCTCATGATCTTGAACAACTCTCGCCAAAATCTGCCCGTGAAACGCCCATCTCTGTCGCTCACGATGTTGCTAGGAATGCCCCAATACTTGACCACGTTCTTGAAGAATAGACGTGTCGCATCCTCCGCCGTCAAGTCTTTTGGGCCGGGAATGAACACTCCATACTTCGAAAACCTGTCCACCACAACCATGATGCAACCGCATCCATCGACTTTGGGAAGTCCGATGATGAAGTCCATGCTTATACTCTCCCATGGTCGTTGAGGCGGGGGCAAGGGCTCTAGCAAGCCTGTCGGGCTTCTCTGCTCCATCTTGTCTTGTTGGCACACAAGAGAAGTCTTCACATACATCTCCACGTCGTCTCTCATACGCGGCCAGAAGTATGCTTCTTCGATGAGCGCTTGCGTTCTCTCGATGCCAGGATGGCCCGCCCAGTTGGAATCATGACACTCCTTCATGATCTCCTTCCTCAAGTTGGCCCATCTTGGCACGAACACCCGCTCTCCTTTGGTCATGATGAGCCCATCCTTTATCCAAAACCGCCGAGTTTTACCTTGCTCGATGTACTCCGCTACGGTTTTGGCGAAGGGGTCATGGCCAAGGCCTTCAACGATCCGCTCCTTCAAAGGAAACGTGGGCTGGCTGATGCTTGCGGCTGCACTCTTGCGGCTAAGAGCATCGGCAACGGAATTCGCCTTGCCTGGATTGTACTCCATAACGAAGTCGAACTCGGCCAAAAAGTCTTGCCACCTCGCTTGCTTAGGGGTGAGCTTCTTCTGTGTCAGAAAATAGCTCGTTGCCACGTTGTCCGTCTTCACTACGAACTTTGACCCCAACAGGTAGTGCCTCCATGTACGCAAGCAATGCACCACGGCCGTCATCTCCTTCTCATGAATGCTGTATCGCCTCTCCGTCTCGCTAAGCTTCTGACTCTCGAAGGCAATGGGATGCCCATCTTGCATCAACACGCCCCCAATTGCAAAGTCGGACGCATCGGTCTGCACTTCGTAGGCCAACGTCGGGTTGGGGAGCACGAGCAAGGGCTCCTTCATCACCGCTACCTTCAAGGCCTCGAATGCTTCTTGGCACCTTTCCGACCAATCCCACGCCTTGTTCTTCTTCAAGAGATCCGTTAAGGGTGCTGCAATGTTGGAGTAGCCCTTGATAAACCTCCGATAGTAGTTGGCAAGGCTGAGGAATGACCGCAACTCTGGCACCTTCGTCGGCGGCTCCCATTCTTGGATTGCCTGCACCTTCGCTCCATCCATCTTCAACTTGCCTCCACCAATGATGTGCCCCAAGAATGGAACCTCCGTGGCAGCAAATGTGCACTTCTACCTCTTGACGTACAACTCGTTGTCGCGAAGGACTTGGAAGACTTGGCGTAGATGCTCGGCATGCTCGTCGAGTGTTTTGCTATACACGACGATGTCATCCAAGTAGACCACGACAAACCGGTCCAAGAATGGCTTGAACACTTGATTCATCAAAGTGAAAAACGTGGCTGGTGCGTTGGTGAGACCGAATGGCATCATAAGAAACTCGTGAGAGCCATACCTCGTCACACAAGCCGTCTTTGGCTCGTCGCCCTCTGCTATCCGCACTTGATAGTAGCCCGAGCGAAGATCTATCTTGGTAAACTACATTGCATCTCCAAGATGGTCGAACAAGTCGGCAATGTTGGGAATCGGCCACTTGTTCTTCACTGTCAACTTGTTGATGGCTCTATAGTCGATGCACATTCGCAACGACCCTTCCTTCTTCTTCTGGAACAGCACCGGTGCTCCAAAAGGTGACTTTGATGGCCGCATGTAGCCTGCGTCCACCAAGTCTTTGAGTTGCCTCCGCAATTCTTCTAACTCCGGTGGCGACATGCGGTATGGTGCTCGCGAAGGGGCTTCGCTCCTGGCTCCAACTCGATCTTGTGGTCCACCTCTCTTCTTGGTGGCAGCTTCTTGGGGACCTCCGCTGGCATCACGTCATCGAACTCTTCGAGGACGCCTTCAATGATGGGAGTTGGGATTCCCGTTGAGCCTCCTTCTTCCTCCATTTTCAAGGACACAAGAAAGGTTGGTTCATTTTTCTTGAACCCCTTCAATACCTGCATGGCCGATAGAGCACTATGGGGGCCATCTTCTCTCAAGAGATGGACCGCATGGAACTCCCCTTCCTTCTCCAAGCACATCGTGTTGGAGTTGGGCTTCAAGAGCACTCCCTCCTTGTCGAGGAAGTTGATGTCAAGGATGACTGGGTGATCGTCCATGGTGACGACGGAAAAGTCGATGAGGCCTTCCCACTCGCCAAGCTTCACTGGGACGTTGTGAGCAACTCCATGGATCGGGATGGACACCGAGTTGATCGTCTTGAGCCTCCCTTGCCCCTTCTCGTAGGCAATACCCAGCCGGTTTGCTTCCTCGATGCGAAGAAAGTTGTCTGTGGCACCGGTATCCACCAAGGATTTTGACTCGCCTTCCATGAATTGCGCCAGAACATAGCACCTCCCACGCTTGCTCTCCTTGACGTCGGTCTTCACCGCGCCAAGATTGAGGATTGAGCCAATCTTGGCCTCCGCCGCCTTGGGCTCCTCATCTTGAGCTTCCATGGCTGCCAATCTCGCCTTCCTTGGGCAATCCCGCACTCGATGTGGTCCGTCGCAAAGGAAACAAGAAACGGGCTTTGGTTCGTACTTACCCCCTTTGCTCGAACCACCTTGGTGTTGTTGTTGAGTGCGAGAACCCTCCTTGAAAGGCTTCTGCTGTTCTCCACCCTTGTTGGGCTTCGAACTCTTCTCTTTGCCGCTGCTCTCTTGCCTTTTGTACTCGACAAAAGACTCCGCCGTGGCCATGGCAGTTGCACGGTCTTGCACTCCTCGACGTTGCATCTCCATCTTGGCCCATGGTTGCAGCCCATCAAGAAAGCCGTGCATGGCCTCCTTGTCCGTGATGTCCGGGATCTCTAGAAGCAGCTCCGAGAATTCTTTCACATATTCTCGAACTCCACCCCTCTGGGTGAGTCTTCTCAACTTCGAACGGGCTTCAAACTCCACGTTCTCTAGGTAGAACTGCTTCTTGATTTCTCTCTTGAAATCTTTCCACATTGCCATCACACAAGTACCTCTTTCGACGTCCGCTTCACGTCGCCTCCACCACACCATTGCAACATCAACCAAGTATAGTGGAGCGGTACGAAGTTTTACCTCATCCTCTTGGATGCCGGACGCCTTGAAGTATTGGTCAAGACTCCAAAGGAAGTTCTCTAACTCCCTCGCGTTCCTTGAACCTCCAAAGCTCTTCGGTCTTGGAACATCAGCATGTGGGACGGATTGCACCGGGGCTGGTCCGCTAGCCATGGCTCTCTTCACGAGAGTGACCTCACTCTTGAGGTCTGCAATCTCCTCCTTCCCGCCGACCAGCTTAGCCTGGACGTGCTCTTTCACAACTTCAATGGCGTTGTTCAAGGATGCGTTGATGGTGTTGTTGATGAGGGCCACAAGCTCTTCTCGTATGCCATCATGACCAATCTCCAAGCTCGACAAACGAGCATTCATACCTTGAACATCGCCTTGGACTTGGGCGAAGTTAGCTCCCAAATCCTCGATGGCATTGACATCTTTGGAAAGCTTCACCTCCATCCTCGAGACTCGCCTCTCTAGAGACTTGAGAGGATCACGAGTGCTCGAAGCGCCTTTTGACCTCCCGCCTGGGGTAGGCTCTCTGCCACGATGCTTCTCACCGTCGTCATTGACTTCTGATCCCGACATTTTTGGTGAGGCTCTTCCTTTTCGTTTGGATATTGCTTCTACTTTGCAAGCACAAAGTCGAACGGGGCTCTGATACCACTTGTCACGACCTTACTCTCGATCGTGCGTCCCTAGCTCTCAATTCCGTTAGAGCGCTAGGCAGCCTTTCTCTCAAACTCACAAGCAATCAAAGAACAAGGAAGCAAAGACAAAGAAGTGGGAGAACTCTCTAGTGTGTATTACTCTCAAAAATGATGGAATGAGTTACAAATGAGGGAGATGGCTCCTTATATAGGCCCCTCCTCATACAAGGCATCAATGCCCCTCATAATGTCCCTCTACTACATCAATACACCCCATTAAGTCCCCCCATTATGCACTCTATAAATGTCACCCATTATGTGACTCATAAGTGCACCATTAAGCTCTACATTAAGGTGGAGAATCCTAGGAGCATCTCTATGCTACTAGTCTTCCATGCATGCCACATGTGTCGCCGCCATTTGCCACCTTGTTGGCGCCATGTCATCTGCCACATGTGACAGAACCCGCCGGAGAGGGCTTTGCCCTTGAGCCAGGTTGGAGAAATCGTTTGCACATAGAATTTTGGGGAAAGGAAGATTATTGGGGAAATGGGGAAGTTTTATTTTAAATAATTAATTAATAAATATATTATCTAGGTTGATTGGCTGATGTGTTTGTTGACTGCCACGTAATAAGATTTTTTCCACCTCAACATAATTTTTGTCAACTCACAATTATCTAATGAAAGTTTTAACGGAGACTTAACGGTTGGCTAATAATTTGTATTTTGATAGTTGTGGCTATAATTTTGGCTAATATATTGTATTTAGCCAAAACTAAATCAAGAATCATAATCCAATTGCTAGGTAAAGAATAGTTTACCAAACAATGAGCGTCTTACATTAGGTAGCCTCCATTTTAATGAATGTCGAAAATATCCATCACCGTAACAACTTGTACATAACACCTCTGAGTTCAAGAAGTCTGACTCACCATAGAGGCCAGAATACTGAATGGAGACCTCACAGTGTACTTGATTCTATATTCTTGATATGGAATCAAGATTTTCAAGAGATTCCCGACTCTCGTTTCAACTAGAGAGCAACAACAAACAACGTCAACCATATCATAGCAATTTTCTTCATACAGAAAACACCATAAAAATCTCTAAAAAATCATTAATAAAAGAATCCTTCAAGATGCACCTCATAGTGAGAGTTGCTAGTAGGTGGTGAGTTTGTATCCTTCTCAACTTGCAACTTCAATAGTGACTCCCCCAATCAGGTTTGTTGTGGATAAGCTTCAAAGTTTGGTCTTGTGTTGGTTGGGTGTTTGCAATTTGCAATTGGTAATCAAAGCTTGAAGAAGGACCATGATGAAAGCTTCTAAGACACATTGTCGATAAGGGGCCATTGTCCCCAAAAGAGAGATATCCTTTACCTTAGTCTTTTTGTTTCATTTTGCAACTATTTTCTTAACTTGCAATATACAGTGATTAATAAAGCTTCAAATTTAAATTGCTTGGAAAATAGAAAATTAGCATCCATCACAAACTTAATGTTGTCATCAGTGCCTTCTATGCACATTCTTGTTGAAATTAGAAAGATATGACTTATGCAAGGGTATATCAACTCATTATATAATGACACAATATTATAAACTTGTTGGATTAGCGATATTGTAGTAGGTGAGCTTAATTTTGAACTTCAACATCACTCCCTCAATTTGTAGGTGATGATTAGGTGGTGGTCCATTAATTCTATCATTGTCTTGGAATTTCTTTTTGACCGACATTCCAAAGAGTCGAGCTCTCCCTCTATCCATAACAATAAAGTGTGCCTCTGTTGTTTTGTGTACAATTCGAAGGTGGATCCTGAATCTGTATAATAATAATAGTGAAATAAAAACAAAAATAATTGTTGAAGTACATATTATTTTTTAGTTGGTAAAGGAAAAATCTCAATATTATTCAATCAGTAATAGGAAAACAGTCTCGTAAGGTAGGATAGATGGGCAGATCATGTTTCGTAACAATATCCAAAAGATCCAAATTATCATCCCAACAAAATATAAATACGCAAACCATCATAGAAGCGAAGTGTTTCAAAATAAAAATAAAGAGGGAAGCTCACGCCAATCAAGCAATCACCTCATTTTGTGTCTCCGACCTAGTCAAACCAAGTGAATAGAAGACAAACATAGTCTCATCTAAAATGCAGATCTCCATATTCTAATCTAAACCGTTAATCCCATAGAATCTCTTTATTTTAATAATATTTAATATTTAATTTAATATGTAATATGTACGTAATCTTTCCTCGTGTATCAGTACATGCTTTGGTACTTATTAAGTAAAAGTTTATTTATAGTTGCATTGGTTATAAAGTTATGAATTGAACAAAAAAAACTATCATATAAAGTATGTTGTAGAAAATTAAACAATCAACATTTTGGCATTTACAAATCATCAACGAACTATATAAAACCCAATTCCCTATTAATACTGGTTGCATTACCTAGTTGTGTTGGGTTTAATATCGTTGTACGATTCTCATAGAAGTACTCATCGAAGTCTTCTTCG